GCGGCGCGTTCGGGAGCTGGCCCGCGCGCGCGGCCGCCGCCGCCGCCGCGGCGATGGCGCCCATGTCCAGCAGGCCGTGGGCGTTGAGCTGCTGCATGAAGGCCATGCAGTCGAAGGCGAGCTCGACCTTCTCGAGCTTCCGCTGGCCCTCGGCGGTGTACGTCGCCTTGAGCATGCCGTTGACCGCGACTTCCGACGGGAAGCCGATGTCCACGAGCCCCACGGTCTCGAAGCGCCAGCTGCACATCAACAGGTCGCCGGACACGAGCATCTCGTCCGCGTCGGCGACGTAGCGCACGGAGATGGCCGAGAAGCGCGCCGAGTCGAGGTCGTCGGGCGCGTCCTCCGCGCGGCGCCCGCCCGCGCGCGCGAGCCGCGCGCGGTAGTCGAGCTGCTTCAGCCGCCAGCAGCGCGCGCGGACCATCTCCACGAGCGCGCCGATGGATCGCGTGTCGTGGACGACGTTCTCGACGCCGAGGATCTTGTGCGTGTTCTGCGTCACCGAGACCCCAAAGGCCACGCGGTAGGGCTCCCGGGGCAGCAGGAGCTCGAAGTCGTCGACGAGGATGTCGCGCCACCGCTCCTGGCTCAGCTCGTTGGACGTGCGGTACGTGAGGAACTGGAGCGCGATCGCCCGGCGGAGCGACGCGTCGTGGACGTCCGGCTCCGCGTCGATGGACCAGTCGCCGGGCTTGGACGCCTCCGGCGCGGAGCTCGCCCGGCCGCCGCGCTTCTTCGGCGGCGGCTTCGGGGCGTCGCCGCCGTCGGACTCGTCGTCCGGGGCCCTCGCGGCGCCGTGGTTCGCCTTGAGGTAGTCGACGTACATCTTCTGGCGGCGCTGCGACGAGTGGACGGCCTCGCGCTGCTTCGAGAGCCGCTCCGCCGCGGAGCGCTCCGACGCGTTCGGCGGCGCCTTCTTGGGCTTGCGGCTCCGCCGCGCGGCCGTCGCGCCGGCCTTGCGCCGGCCCGTCGGCTCCTTCTCCTCGTCCTCGTCGGGCGGCGGGCTCGACCCGCGGCTCGGCGGCTTGCGGCCCGCGCCGCGCGTGCGCTTCAGCGGCGGCTCCTCGGCCGGCGCGGGCGCCGGGGCGCCCGAGCGCCGCCGGGCCGCGGGCGGCGCCGCGGCGCCGGCCGTCGACGAGAAGCTCCGCTTCCGCAGCCCGCTCATGACCTCGTCCATGTTCACGGAGCCGCCGCTCAGCATCTTGTTCTCGGCCATGGCCTCGATGGAGCTCTGGAACAGGCCCAGGTCGTCGCTCATGCCCAGCCCGTCGAAGGAGAAGCCCGCGTTCAGCATCTCGGGAGCGGCGCCGTTCTCGTCGAACTCGAAGTTCTCGACGCTGTCCATCATGAAGGGCGTGATGAGCTCGTCGAAGGACCCCATGGACTGCGCGCCGGGGGCTTGCGTCGCCGGCGCGTCCTTGTCGCCCTTCTTCTCCGTCTCGGTAGCGGTGGCCTCGCCGCGCTTCTTGGGCTGGGGCTCGTCGAGGGTCTCCTTGCCGTCGAGGAACGCCGCCACGTCCGCGGACTGCGACATGGTTTTGGGGGCGGCGAGGCGGAACGCGTTTTTGGGGGGGGCTGCGTTCGGCCGGCCGCCCGCGCGCCGCGTAAGTGGCGCCGGCGGCCGACGCAAAAGTGCTTCCTGTCGTCGGGCTGCAGCCCTCGGGCCCAGATAAATGGTTCTAGGCCCCACCGGGGGTCGAGCCGGGCTGACAAATTTTGGCCCCGGGCGTAGGCGCCAGACAGGGGCGTTCTCTGTTTGATTGCGACCGGCTCCGCGACGGCCAAGCTCAAAGGGCCGGTGCGTGCAGCTCTGGTCGCGCGTCGAGGCGCGGCGCTGTGTGTTAAAAAGGCCGCACCGCCAGCCCTGGGAGTGCGACGTCGACGGCGCTTGCGCCCTGCGCCCAGCCATGCCAATCTCTTCGTTCGCATGCCACTCGCCGACGCGCCTCGTCGTGCTTCGCGGTCGTTCCCACGGCGGGTCGCCCCGCCAGGACGGCTGGAATGTGCCCCCGGCCTCGATTGAGAGGCTCTGTGGTTGCAGGCTCTAGTTTCAGGCATTAACGCCGATGCCGACGCCCGTGCCGCCGGGTCGCGTCGGTTCAGGCGGTGCTCCGCGACCCAGAGGCTGCGAGAAATCTGCGACGCGGGGCGCCGAACCGCCGGAAGCGGTCATCGCGGACGCCGTTCGGCGACGCGACGGCGTCCTCGCAGCGCAAACTCGCCGGCAAGCCATCGAGAAGCGTGTCGCCCTCGGCGACGACGTCGTCGCGGTCCTCGGTGTCGAGGAACTGGACCGCGAAGCAGAGCTCGAAAGACTCGAGCGACGAGATCCGCGGCGCGAAGAGCGTCTCGCCGTTCGTGCGCACGGACGTTCCCCTCCCACACGTCGCAGATATTTGCGGCCGCCGTGGGGATCGCGTCGCGCCGCGCCGAGGGCGACGCGGGCCGCGCGGAGCCGCCAGCCCCGGCGGTCGTCCGACGGCGACGTCGCGGGCAAGCCGTAGAGCGGCGCCGCCGAAGCCTCTTCGACGAGGACGTCGAGATTCGTCGAGGGCGACCGACGCCGTCGCGGCTGGACGACGGCGCCCTCACCGCTCTGGTCCGTCGCGCTGGCGACGCGTCCGCAGCTCGACCGCGACGCGCGGCGACCGCGCGGCCTCCCTGATCGGGTTCGGCGCCACGGCCTAGGCGTCGCTCGACGCGCTCACGACGGACTCGTCGCCCGCGCGCCGCGCGGCGCGTAGCTTTCGTGCGCGACGACGTCGGACAGCGTGCCGACGGCGCGGCCGCTCGACGGGGGCGGCATGCCGCGCGCCGCTCGCCAGGTCGTCGGCGGCGCCCGCGTGGCGCGCCAGCAATGCGCGGCGATGCGCGGCGATGCTCGAAGCATTCGGCGCGCGCGACGCAGCTCCGGCCAGCGGCCGCGGCTGGCATTGCGCGCGGCTACGGCACGGCCTCTTGGGTAGTGGCTTGAGCTTTGTGGTAATTCCGCGAGCGGCTCGCGCCGCCGCCTCGTCGCGATGTCCGCGGGCCTCGTGCCGCACCCTCAGTTTGGGCCGGGCTGGTTCTTATTCGACGGCCGGCCGGTGGTCCTGTTCCCAGGCACCGAGAACCCCGGAGTCGAGGCGGGGCCGCCGGGCGAGGCGGGCCTCGCCTACCAGGAGCGAGATGGGGCTCTCTTCGTCCTCTCGCTCCGGGCGGGCGTGGGCGTCGAGAGCAAGCTATGGAGCCTCGCCCTCGACGGGTGGGCGCCGGCGATCGACGCGCTCGCCCGCGTCTTCGCCGAGCGCGAGGTCGGGCGGCTCGCCGGCGTCGCGGGCCCCGCGCCCGCGTACGTCGCCTGCGTGGCCTCCGAGGCCGCCACGCGCGTCATCGTCGCCATGTGCGAGGCGGCGGCGACGGCGACCCGCGGCACGGCCGTCGCCGCGGGCGCGCTGTCGACGGGCGGCGAGTTCGTCGTCCCCGCGATCGGCGCGTCGAAGGCCGCGGAGCGGCGGCACTTCGCGGACCTCACCATCGTCGCCGACCCGGACGCGACGCTCGCCGCCATCGGCGACCGCCCGGTCGCCCTCGTCGCGGACGTGCTCCGCAGCGGCGGCGCGCTCGACGACGGCGAGCGCGCGCTGCGCGCCGCGGCGGCGCGCGCTGAGGCCTCTCTGGGACTCGGAGAGGTCAAAAAGCTGGCCCTGTTTCGTCGCGTGTCGGCGTTCCACGGCACCGTGACGACGCGCGAGATCGAGCCGGGCCTGCGCGCGTCGCGCGACGCCGGCGTCCGAGTTTTTTCCGCCGCGCGCGCGCCCGTCGAGAGGAGCTGCCCGCTCGCATCACTCGACTGAGAGCAACACTGGCTTCACTAAAATTCACGTTCGGCTGCCCACAGGTTCGAGCGCATCGTCGGCGCGAAGCTCGGGACCCCGGGCCGCGCCGCCAACAGCGATGTCGCGGTCGTCTACAAGTTCACGGTGCGCTTCAAGGGCCGCGTCTACTACTACTACGGCTCGACGATCGCGTCCAAGGAGAGCCTGGAGAAGAAGAAGGCGGAGGTCATGGCGGCCCTGCGGGCCGGGGACCGCGCCGCGCTGGAGGCGCTCGGTGTCTTCTTCGCCGCGAAGCGCCAGAGCGCGCACCGCCGCCGCCTCCACTCGAAGACGCGCCGCCACTCGAAGAAGATCATGGAGCTCTTCGAGCAGGTCTGGGCGTCGGAGGACGCGGACGCGTCCATCGAGCTCGAGATGGTGGCGATGATCTTCGGGAAGAAGGACGACTCCCGGGAGTCCTTCAAGCTCTTCGGCCAGTTCCCGGCCGAGCAGCTCTTCGTCGACTACGCGTTCCGCACGCACGGCGAGGACTACGTCGTGAACACGGACAAGAACTGCGGCGCGTCCTTCTTCCGCGACTCCGCGACGTTCCGCCGGAAGCGCGCGCGCGCGATCGTCGAGCGCCTCCGCGCGTTCAAGGCGCAGGACCCGGCGGGCTACGAGGTCTACGGCGCCATCCTCGGCGCGTTGCTCGCGTCCTGCGAGTGCATCCTCGTCGACGACGGCAAGGTCCGGGTCGCGGCCGACGCCGCGCCGCTGCTCGAGGGCGGCGTCGCGCCCATGGACGTCGACGACGCGGCGTCGGCCGAGGGCGGCGACGGGTCCGAGGAGGACGGCGACGGCGACGACGTCGCGGGCGGCTTCTCGGTCCCCGACGCGTTCCAGGACGAGGACGACGACGGCGTCGACGGCTGGGACGCGTTGTTCGGCGACGACTTCGCGTTCGACGTCGGCGTCGACGAGGGCCTCGGCGGCGCGGGCGAGGACGCCATGTCCGGGGTGTTCGTGGACCACGCCGAGGGCGTCCGCGAGCTCCGGGCGTTTGAGGCGGTGGCGAAGACGTCGCTGGCCCAGCGCGCGCTCTGCGCGGTGCTGAAGCGGCTCGACCTCGGCGACGCGGCGCTGCCGCAGCTCGAGCTCGGCGGCGGCGGCGACGGCGGCGCGAGCGAGGAGGCCGCCGCCGTGTTCCGCGAGCCCTTCGACGGCGACGCCGCGGGCGACGCCGCGGCCGCGTTGCGGGATCTCGTCGACGAGCACGGCCCCAACGCCTTCGCGCCCGCGGCGGCCGCCGAGGCGCCGGCCGCCGACGTGTCGCCGGCCGACGCGCCGCCGGACGAGGAGGCGACCGCGCGGCGCGACGGCTCGGACGGCGAGTTCGTCGAGTCCGCGGCCGGCGACGGCGAGTCCGCGTCCGGCGACGGCCCGCCGGCCGCGCCGGGCGACGGCGCCGTCGAGCACACGTCCGCGCGGACGCGCTACTCCCTCGTCGAGGACCTCCGCCTCACCCACGCGCGGCGCATCGGCGGCGACGCGTCGGTCGTCGTCGCCGCGGTCGCCGCGGCGCTGCTCCCCGGGCGGTCGCCGAGGGCGCTGGCCGTGCGCCTGCGCAGCCGCGTCGACCTCCGCGTCGTCCGCCTCGCGCGCGTCGTGCACGAGGACCTCGGGGCCGCGCGCGACTTCCGCGCGGAGCGCGACGCGGTCCAGGCGCTCGCGCCGGTCGCGCCGCGCCGCCGCGTCGCGGCTTGCGCCAGCTGGCGCACGGGCGACTGGTTGGACGCCGAGACCGAGTTTGCCGAAAAGGTCATCCAGTACTTCCGCCTCGGCTGGCTGCCGAACTGCGAGAACGGCGCGTCGCTGCGCGCGCTCCTCGCGGAGCTGCTCCACTGCAACCCCACGCGCATCACGAGCAAGCTCTTGCGGGGCGACGACGCGCTCGGCAAGACGGCCTTCACGACGCTCGGCGAGATCGACGCGGACGCGTGCGCGCAGTTCCGGGCCACGGAGCTCGCGTTCCGCGCGGCCGCGGCCGCGAACGGCGACGCGAGCTGGGGCGCGACGCTGCTCCTCGAGGCCAGCGACCTCGCGGCGCTCGAGGCGGCGGCGCGGCGCGACGCGGCGGCGCGGCGCGACGCGGCGGCGGCGGCCCTCGAGGCGG